GTCAAAATATTAAATGCTAACAGAATATTTCAGAAAAATATAGAGGTTCCCATTTAAATTTCAAAAGTTGATAGTGCGCATGCGCAAACTACATAAGATTAAACTTCAGATTTGGGCTTAAAATATGCGTTAAGTTTTACCTAATATCATTCAAAAGTCAAAATTTAAAAAAAAATCAAAAGCGGCTCTGAAAATCAAGGAGTGTCTAACTTTTTGAACACTCTGCATAATTCCATCACTACTCTAAATTTATTCGGTACTTCAACGAAACATGAAAATGCTCTTTCATGGTATCATACTCTGCTGAAAAATGTTTTTTTTTATTAAAATTTACTATTTGTTTTACGGATTATAAAAAGTGATAGCTGTTGAAAAATAATACAATTTCTACGTGGAAACAGTATATTTGATTCGACATAATTTTCAATTTCTGTTAATTTATTATAACTTTAGACATTTTTTTATATAAAAAGTAATAACTAGAAGTACCTCCAAAAAAAAAAAAAAAAATTAAAAATAATGTTAAAAAATTCGAACGTTTTAATATAAAAATAGTTATCGGTGGCAGTTAAAAAAAGTATTAAAACATTAATTATGCGCACAAGTGCCGAAATTGTATGTGTTTCGAAAATATTTTCGATATACTATAACATTAGCATTTTTAATAGAAAAAGTTTTATCAAAAATATTGCACATATAGAAAACCAATATTTCGACTTCCCCCCCTTCCCCGGGAGGGAAATCAAATTTTTTTAAAACGATTTTTGCGCAATTTTAGGATTTAAGTCTAACATGTGTTTTCGGGATCGCCGATTTAAAATTTGATAAAAGTTTTCCATTATACCTGCTTACTTTAGGTGTTGAGGTAGTATTAAGAGGAAAGAGATTGAGGTAGTTTTGTGAGGGAGGGGTTGAGGTATTGGCGAGGGAGAGGTAATTTCCAACTAATTTAAAAAATTTTAAATAATAATAATAATACACAATAGTCATCAAAATGCACGTTCATTGTGTTTCTATCACATTTTGGATTTACTCATTAAAAAAAATTGACTACAAAATGTTTTCCGAACATCAAAACAAAAAAAACCAGCATTGTCTAAACTAGCACAGTGTGAATTAGCATATTCTAATCCAAGTGTAAAGTATTATAGTTAGTAGTCCAAATTATTACCGGAACAATTGGAATATTAAAAATATACAAGGTTATCATTATAAAGTGACACCACCATTTAATATCTTTTATGGTTTCATCAGTTCAGACTGCTGTCTGTTGTTTGCGCCGAAGATGCTAACATTGCTGACGAAATACGTACACGTTATAAAGCATCATTTTTGTGGTTAATGGTTTGTTTAAATATTTCATAAATATAATATTACTCAACACCCTTCGTCCCATCCTAAACTAGATACGATTTCTAATCTTTAGAGTTTCTGCACGAAGAAATCGATTCCGCATTGTTAAAAGTATACCTTCTAGTAGCAGCAAAGCTAATGATAAAAGCGAAAGTTACATTTTCTTAGAGTTCCTAAAAAGTGTGCAAATTTGTTAGAAATTACAAATTTACTCATTCAATTGAGAAATTAGTGACTTCTAAGAACAAGCTAACCCTCCGTTGCGCGTCACTCTAAAAACTGTTTCTTTTAACCTACTTCGTATGGTTGTTTGAGTTTTTATAATTTTAACTGTTTTCTTGCACGGTTGTGCTGTAACTGGTTTACATAAGTTATAGCGAACACCAATTTTGTGCATTCGTATTTTACCATTGTGGCAGTTTTTAGAAAGCTTTTGTTTGTTGTTTTACCCCTCAGGACGTATATTTTCATTACACTGTAATATTAGCGTTTAGCGCAAATGTATAAGTTTGCAACTAAAATTGTTTAGTTTCAGCTAAAATCCGGCGGTATTATTTTCATACACAGTATATTGTTCTACAGTATTTTGCACAACGGTTGTCGCATTGCAAATAAAATATGAAAAACACCTGCTGGTTACACACGACCTTTTAAGTTATAAGGACGGTTATAATTTACAAAAAAAAAATTGTGGTAAGACCGAAACGCATAGGCTACAAAACGGGTAATGTGTGTAGCGAAAAAAAACTGAACGCGATAAAATATTTAATAACAAAATGTTTGATTACGATAAAAAATATATTAATGATAAACACATAAGATACGACCACACAGAATTTCATAGTCTTACCTACAATTATTGTTGTGGTTTAAATTTGCTGTGGCTCAAACCTATCTGCCCAATAATGGGTGTCCCACAAAGACCTGACAAATGAAATGACTCCATCATCGGTCAGGAAGACGTCTCTTTATGGCTTCTTGACCAGTGGGATTGCGTTCGATCCGACATATTTTTCTTGTTTCAACAATCTAGTTGGCGAAATAAACATCTGCCCGGACGATCCCACTCTATTTCTCATAGTTAAAATTATTTATTTCTTATAATAATTCGACCTAGTGCTTATGCAATTTCATTTAAACCCAATAAACCAAAACTTGTTAATTATTTCTCATAAAAAAAAATCACTAATATTTCTCTTTTTTTAATTTTATTTCATATTTTATGTCTGTGTTCCACTCAGAAATATTTTCTATAACAATCTTGGCAATATCGCGTCCGAACAGATAAAAGATTAACGACAGTGTCGATCAATTTCATCATGTAAAGTGAGGCCTTGATAATCGGTGAGCTTAATAATAATACATTGTGGTGTAAGCGAATAAAGCCGTGAAACCATGACAAGGGATAAGAGACTGATAAGACGATGGCATATTGGAAAGGTTTGAAAAAAAAACGGACCATTTGCCTTTTGTGTAAACTATTTTTTGACAGAACTGAAGAATGTTTTAACAAGGTATGAGAAGTCTATGTGGTCTCGGAAGGGGACAGTAGAGCTAGCAGTGTAATCAACGCGTTTTTAGTGATCTCAGAGTTACCTAAAACCCAAACAAACTGAACTACTTTAACAGAACAGGAAATACAAGACAAGCAAAATCGAATAACAGAGTTAAATGAGGGTGGATTTGGCTATTTTTTAAAAATTATTTCAGAAAGGAACTCGTTTTTCTCAAAATGCCTTTTTTCAAACGATAGAAATTTAAATATCATCTATATTAATTTATTAGTAGTAGAATTGCTTGCTTTGAACCAACCACCTTGGTAGCAGCGAGTCGCACATTATATTTCTGAGCAATATTAAAACCTTAAACAAAGAATGGAATAGTCTGAAAACATTTTCGCACACAATTTGACACAAGTCAGTATAATGTAAAAACGTAAAAATAATAATAAAAAAAAAAAAAAACGTTATGTAAATAATTTAACACTGCAAAATCCCTACAAAATAACGTCGACTTTACTGTTTCGTTCGACATAAAAGGCCATTAACAAGTCTCGCTTCAACAAGTTATCTATCACTTCGATAATAACTAAACTGAAAGTAATACTTGCCGACTTCTTCGATAGTAAGTACATTTGTTATACTTTTTATTAAGTGATAGAGATTAATTTTTTTTTTTTTGTTTCCTCGTAATTGCGCACGATAAATTTTTAACCGCCATTTAATTCAGTTTCTATAAAGTCTTTTTATCACAGAAATTGTTTACATAATGTAGTTACAGTGTATACTATTTCTTAGCGACAAAAGTAAAAGAAACATAACTCTTCTAAATAAAAATCAAGAGAAAAAACCCCACAAATATCAACACATCGTTTTTTAATATTATTCAAAAACTGATGTGACAAAATTTTTAGATACAGCATTCATATCCGCAGTAAAATCCCAATTTTTTTTTAATTCACTTTGGACATAGTTTTTTTTTTAATTCAGAACTAAAAACTACACGTGTTCCAGCGAGAGGCTACAAAACACAAATATACTTTTCTCAGAAATCGTTACCAAAGTATTTTTTTTTAATTTAGGATAAAATAGTATCAAAATCAGCGACCAAAATTTTATTTTAAAACGATAAAGTCACAATTTTATGTTTTGTGAATAATTTGATAAATTATTTATTGAGGCATCTGACAAAAAAACTAACAATACATAACTGATATCTTTACCAAATTGTACAAGCGCTAATAGTAAATCAATTTAATATGATTATTGAATATTTTTAAGAAGACTGTTTCTCCATTTTTACCATTGTAATAACTAAAGAAAAAACAATTTTTTTACGTATCTGTGTGACACGGGCTACACATTATTTTTTTGTCATTTTCTGGTCAAAAATAATACTGTAAGTAGAAATGCAATTTTTTTATACATGTTTTTAATAATATAACGTTAAATGGGGATTTTCTGTTTATAAATAAAAATGTATTTGAAATGAAAACCAACAAATGTATGACGGAAAGAAATGTTTGGCTGCAAATGTTATGAATTTTGTAAAAGAAAAAGTGTACATGCTTGATTTTTTCATTAATTTTTTTTTAGTGAACAACAAACCAGACAGTGTCTATTAAATAATTATGGTTATTTCAAGTCTGGGAAAAAGTATTTTTTTTTTTATGTTGTTATGACAATATGAAAACTCACTAACTGTTTAATGCAACCACGCGACGTCGATTTTTAACATTTACTAAAATGTATAAATCTTGTGATAAATCATTAGGCAATGACGTAGTCAAAACAATTACAAAACTAATACTTTTTCCAAAATGTATAGGCGCTTAAATTACAGATTCAGTAATTTTTTTTGCATACTCATAGTAGAAACATTTTTTTCTTTCTATTCAGAGGGATAAACGAAAAATTGAGTACATAATGACTATTATTTCTGAAATATACCTTATGTTAAAATAATCACCTCGTATACATAAAGAAAAATATTAAAAAAATAAAAATGGCACGGGTACTCGTATTTTGTGTGTATAAAGTGATATATGCAGTTCGGAGTTGGCGGAATTTATGATTGCTTGCGAGAAATATAAATCACTCCTAAAATCAAAAATATTTTTTTTTGGTTTTAAGCTACTGGTACAGTTGTTACTTTTTTGTCCATTTGGCGCTAGTCATACTTCACTGGCATCCCCTTATGCTTTGTTTTATCGTTATTTTTAATATTACAATAAAATTATTAGGTGACACAAATTGAAACTCTGATTTATTAGATCATATTGAAATCAGTTTAAACGCTCGTTCACGCTTCTACATTGATAAAATTAGTTATATTTTATTGATTAAGTAGGTTATTTCAAATTATTTAAACATATTCAATCTTATACTAGCTGCCCGTGTACCCGGCTGGTAGTCTGTAAATGTAGTAACAATATATTTTTAATAATCACAACAAATAAATTTACACCGATAAATAGAAGTTTCTAAAATCTTAACCTAAAATATTTCATAGTGTTTAATCAAAAATTTGTGTTTCACTACAAAAAAATGTAACGTTTATAATTATTTGCAGGTAAAAATGAAAATCTTGGGTTTACTAATATCATTTGGATTGATAAGTGTTTTGGTAGCTGATGATCGGAGTAATTATTTTATGTTTACTCATACTTAGACGAAATAGTAGGAATTTATAAAAAATACTGATAATTTAACTTTTTATTATAGATGAATATTATAACATAATCAAAAATACAAGTCAGTAAAAAGTTGTTTTTATTATAAACAAATTTTTTAAGTTTCACTGTGTGTATATAATTTGTTACAGACAAGCAAATAGAAAAAGCACATAATGCAGGTAACATATAGTATTTCACAAAATAAAATACGTCTATAAAAAGTTTTTAGTATGTTTATAAGAATAATCAAATGATAGTTAAACGTGTTACACTTTTTATTATATGCCTACATTAAGAACAAATAAGCTGTAAAGTATCCATAAGTTAAGAACAGCGCAGATACTAAATTTATCCAATAGTTGCAATCTATGATGATAGTATAGTCTTAACTTTTATGTTCTGGCCAAACATTTGCATAATGACAACAAATTTGATATTGATATCTATAAGAGCTTGTCGTGAATAGGAAAATTACACAATTTCATACACTACTATTGAGAATATTTATTTTAAGATATTAAATATGCAGGTAGATCATATTTCAAACCAGTGAGTTATACTGATATGAATTTGACACTAGTCTTTGCATAACAAACATTTAGTTTTCGATTTTCTCCTAAAATATAAAAAATAGGATGTTGGTTCTAAGCTCGCTAGATTGAGCTAGGTATTCAAAAAGATACAAAATATAGATTAAAAATGATTAAACAATTATTTAAGTTGTTGGCAATAAAAAACTGTTTTTTTTGGCAAGGCAGAATTTTGAAGCCGATAGACAGATTTGTGACTTAGGGTCTTTTTCAAAGAACCTTGCTCCTAGTCATGTAAAAGTGCATTGAAAAGTTTCAGAACTTTATAGTTTATTGACTACTGAGCATTAACATTGTATGTTACAAAACCATTTTTACCTCTTCCGCTAAAATGTCATACTTTTTTAATTAATTGCTTAACAATGAAATATATTACATTTGAAAAAATTATCAAAAAATTAAGAATTCAGAAATACTTAAGTATACTTAGGTATACACAAATCAGTTGTTTGCCCGTAAGCTGTCTAGAGATTTTTTGGCAGTAAAGAGTTTTTAAATATCATATTATTTTATTTCTTAACTATAATCAACCATAAGTATTGCTTACATTTTTTTTAATCTGTAACCATTGTTTGTTTATATTAGCGAAAATCGACGAAGTTATGATGCATTTTGCTAAAAGTCCAACAATTCCGATAGGTAATTACAGTTCTATAATTAAACAGTGGTTAGTGGTTTACCTTGAGTGGTGAGACACTGTAGAACTAAATCAGCTGTCTGTCCGTCTCCATACTTAATTATAAATTATTTTACTTACAACGAAATGTTAATTTAAATTAAAAAATAATATTATTACTTATAACAATTAAATATCAATATTAATTATAAATAATCATTTAGGTATTTTATTTCTATAGTCCCGAATTAGTTTAATACAATTAAATCCCAAGTATATTTTTCCGAATTAATTAGACATGCCCATTTTCTACTTGTCTCAACTGTACCAATTTAATAAAAATAAAAATCAATTAATGCATATTTTATGTTATGTTAAATACAGATTATTTTTATTACATGTTTATGTCCATACCAGGTAATAACTTTTTTGAAATTTTCATATTTTAACATGAATATTATATTATGGTCATTATGTATAAAATTTATTTTGTTATTACAGATTGGCGAAATTATAACACAATAGGTACATATTTTATTTTTATATTACTTTACACACAGTCTTATCGTTACTTATTTTTAAACGTATGCTGTGAATGATCTTATAATTTATATCTTGTTTTGAATTTCAGAAAAGATGGAAATCCAGCGTGATGCGCAAAAATTAATTAAGGATGCGACAAGTAAATTTTTAATTTTTTAATTAATTTTTTTTAAACAAACAATAAATAAATTTAGTTATTATATAGCTCTAAATAAAAACAATAACTACTCTATTAAAGTTTAATGTCATAATTCTATATGATTTTTTTTAAGACTTTGATGATCTTTTAAAACAGTCCAAATTAATCTTACACACATTATAGGTTATAATGTGTTTTTAATCATGGCTACCAGAAATTTGAAATTCATTCGCTGTTTTACGTTGATTAAGTTTGGGAATATTCTGAACCTCAAGATTATTTATATAAATAAGATATAGAACGCAGAATTATTTTTTTAACCGTATACTTATTTGATATTTGAATTACAGAAATCGAAGCACCTACGGAAGTCGAAGGTAACTACAATCATATATTAATTTTTTATGGTTTGGCCTGGTAAACCACTAATGTACAAGTGGCTTTAAAGGGGTTAAGAACGGAACATCGCTCCATTGTTTACCTATATTTCCTGCTAGTTTTGTCACTAAGGCATATTATGAATTGTATCGTTAAGCATACTGCTTAAGAGGTATAAAAGATTAGATTGGGTTGTTTTGGTTATTTAAGTTGAAAAAATCCAATACAGTGGAGTCGGACCCAAGGAAATTATTAGAAATATTTATGTAATGCATTGCTATCATGAGCAATTCATTTATTATTATATATATTTTTAATTATTTGTTATTAAGACTTGGATGGTGCGAAATTTAATCTGTCAGAACATGAAAATATAAGAAAAGGATATGTAACAATAGATCGCATAAGAAGCTTAATCATAAAGGAAATGAGTAAATATACATATTAAATTAATTATATTGGTTTTAGTAACCTAAAAGAGTTTTTTTTTGGTAATTATATTAAATAATAATCATAATACAAAGAAAACAATAGGTTATTAACTTATAGGCAATTATTCTTACCCCACAGTTTTATAGCAATTTAGATATAAAAAAAAAATTAAATAAAAGCTATAGAAACACAACATTGATATTTGACTGTACACTATTGTTATGATTTATAAGTAACATTATGATCAGACTAAGTTTTTTTCCAGATTAATTTGTGCTTTACCATTCTATATGACTCAATTGGTTTAATGCCAATTTTTTTTGATCAATTATTTTTTAGCAATTACTTAAGATTATTACCTAGAATAGAAATTCGAACAAATAAAATGGCTTGTTATCACGAAAAAAACTTATCTTATAAATAACGCAATCCGTAACAGAGTTTTATTGATGACGGTAAGACTGATTTCCAATGACTTTGTTGAGTTACTTATTAAAAAAAATTATTTAATTAACAATAATTTTTTTCTGAATTAAGTTTTTTAGAACTTTGATATATATATATAGGTTAGGCTAGAGTGTGCATCCGTGTTCTCTTTATTTAAAATAATGTATTGACTAAGAGTAACATGATCGTACAATACGGACACTGTGTATTGTAATATTTTCCAATGATTCTTTATACATCTGTATATATGGTGTCTTGAAAATAAAGAAAAGTAGTAGCAAATAAGCTAAATCTGGTATTTCTTTTTTTTAGTTAAAGATCAAACCACAGCAGAGCATATAGGATATTTCGAGGATCGTCCATTTAGATGTCGCCTATTAGCAATGCACAGAACTCTTAAAAATCCACTTAATATTATATTAGAAGCTAAAATTATTAAGGTCAACGACGCCGATATTTGTCAACTAATGGATTCAAAAAGGAATCATATCAGATACAGAAGAGTATCAGGCGTTTTTTGGAGAGATAACCCTGATAACAATAAAATGGATGAGACACTAGCTTCTGAGTTAGGTTTGGAAGAAGAGGTATAAGAATACATTTTTTTACAGTACTATTGGTATTACATTTAAATATTTTTTGTATACTGCACTAATATTTACGTTGTCGATACATTTAATGTATTCAATAATAAAGAGTTTCAATCACTACTATAAAAAAATTTGTTGCTTATAACTTATATTGTAATTTAATAATTGTTTACATACAATGTGGTAATTTTATGGGGAACCACTCAATAACTCTTAGTGTTAAATAAGATTTTTTTTTCATATTGTTTTTATACAATGATCTCAATTTTGTTCTTAGCCCCCTCCCAACTTAGAGTTTTTTGATAGCAACTTTCAAAACTTAAATGGTAACGCATTCATTTCATTACCCTTTTTAAATTGAGAATAATGTACTGTGCATTTTGACTGAATTTGAACAACTATTTTTAAAGTTATAAGAGTTTATAATTTAGGATGGGAGTGTAAGTCTTATTACAATGGCCTTCCTTTAATTTTATATTATTATAGATCCCAAGAAAATGTTTTCAAACTTAGTAAATACGTGCGTTTTCTACTTTATACCACCTTCTTTTTTTGTATCTCTCAATTTAGAGTAAAAAAATCAAATAAAATACGTTATATTAAATACATAAGAAATTACTTTTATGTTGACGGTAATACCAGGTATTAGACGCTTAATGTTTTATGGTTGTAGTTCTTCATAATCCAATATATTTATTACTCCCCAGAAGAACAGTAAATAAAAAAATGCTCGCCTGGACTCTAAAGAAGTCAGGTAGCAGTGCTTCACTCATTGGCCGATGGAACATATTTAATTCCACCATTCGCAAGAAACGTCTTTGAACTTTTTCTAGTTTATCAATCAAGCAATTTTGTTCAACACACCAAATCACCGACTCAAACTTTAATGTTGATTGTACTAATGAACAATATGGTACTTTTAAGCATACAGGTACCTTAATGCTTTTGCACACATTTTTTCAATATGGCGTTCCAAAGATAAATCGGAAGATTTAATAATTCTCAGATCACGAATATCATCTAAGATTGTAACGTCTGAACGTCGTAAACTATGTTAGATTTCTGCAGTCATCCGTTTACGATGAAAGAATATTTCGTCGAACACTTAGAAGTATTTATTTGGAAACCGTTTCGTAAGCACCAAAGAGTAAACCTGTCGAGATCATGCTGAAATTTATAAGTCTTCGACCCTATCTTTAGTTGGGCCGGTAAGATGAACACCATGATATTGTTATCATAGGTTCCTACAAGGTTCCTATAATACCAATTTTCACTAATTTATTTGGTAAAATACTATGATCTACCGAGTCGATCGCTTTGCTAATGCCCGTGTAGACTGCTGCCACTTGACATCCGTTTGAGACGGAGTCCACTAAATAGGAGAAATTAACAATCAGATAAGCATCTATAGAATTGGACTTGCGAAAACGGTGTTGTTAAAAATATATTTTTATCTTCTCAATAACTTCATTTCTATTGATTTAGGAAGCGCTCTGATTTTAGTAATTGGCCTATAGTTTATTAATTATAAGTGTCAATAAAACAAAATTGTCACAAAATAAACGTATTGCCTTGGTCAATGCACATTATGAAAACTACGCGTGTTGATGATCTTGTGCATCGGCTGGACGCTTTATTGGTTGATAACGAATCATTAAACCTACGTGTTACGGCAATCAAATCTAGTTTCAAATCATTGGATCAAAAGAAGGTTGGAAAAAATAATTTTAATGAAGTATTGATATCGGGAATGATGGACCCACAAGTCAAAATGAAAAACTTCTTGTTTTATTTAATCTACCCGAATCTATTATCAAACCTTCCGCAGAGAATGATACATCTCTAATAAAATCTGTCTTTGATTGTATATTATCCCGTAACTTATCCGCAACAGTAGTCTCTAGATTAGGCCAAAATTATTTTATTTTCCACCACTTACTGATATTGCAATATCTCATAGGGTTTAATAAGAAATTAATTTTTTTTTTAATATTGGTTTTATACAATGTGATCTCAATTTTTCACATTTTTTTTTGTTTTTACTCCCCTCCCAACTTAGTTTTTTTTGATAGCAACTTTTGAAACTTAAATAGGAACGTGCATATTTTATTAACTTTTTATATTTTCTTGATTTATTAAATTTTAGCAATACTGATTCGGATTTGTTCTCAAAATTGTTTCTTTTAAATTTTTCTCAATTTAATAATGTTGTAATAGTACTGGTTCAATTATAATAGACTTAGTTCTTTCTGAATTAAATATTATATCTGTAAATGAATCTGTCTATCCTCTTATTCAGTGTGATAATTATCATCCAGGCTTACTCATCTCTATTCCCATAATTATAAATGAACCTTTAACTTAACTTCAGCATCGATAAACTAGAATAGTTTATTTAATGGTCTTATTAATCAATAAAAATCAAGGTGTCAATTAGTTTTACTCCGATGTTTATAAAATTATTGATATATTTGTACCTAAAACAATTGAGCACCAATATGGTATAGTAAAATTTCAAAAGAACTAATATCTACGAAATTCTAAGAAAAAAAGTTGCTCATGAGTTGTATAAGTGTTCTGGTTGGCTGAGTGATTATATATTTTTTTAATTTACGTGCATAATGTACATTTTTCTTAAAAAATAACAACCTCTTCTGGCAAAGGTATTTCCGACCCCGAGACAATAAATGAACTTTATGATCGTCTCTAGAGATAAGAATCTAATCATTTTTAATGTTCCCGACCCTCAAAACCAAACCAACGATAAAGATTATGTAAAAAAAAATATTTTCTTATATTTGAATCAGTTCTGAAGTTCCTCAACTTACACGTTTAGGTAATGCAGGTTCTAAGCCACGCCCTTTAAAATTGTCATTTGCTTCTTAGTGTGATATTCGCCCTATCATGTTCTTCGTGACCCTGCATTTAATAACAATAATATTTATGTAAACAATAGTAGATAAGTTAATAATAATAATGTTCAAATTTCGGGGCTATTTCAAAATGTTAGGGGATTGCGTACCAAATTTAATTTATTGCGTACAAACGAACCTTTATTTAATTTAGACTTATGTGTTATTGCTGAAGCTAATTTAAATGACCATTTCTTTTCGGCTAAATTGGGATTTTCCTCTCTTAATATTTATAGATGTGATAGAGATTATATTAACTGTGGTGTAACTCAAGGTGGTGGTGTTCTTATATGTGTCTAAACAGATTGACATTTTAGAACAGTCCACTAACTTCGAGCTAACTTCTGTTTATGTGCAAATAGGTAATAGAAATCTTCAGAACTGCTTAAATCATTTTTATACATGGTGTGTTAATAACGACTTATCTATTAATATTGATGAATGCAATTCGATTTATTTTTCCCGTTCTCATTCGCCTATAAAGTTTAAACACTCTATTAATTCAAAGCCTCTTATCCCAGTATCTACTATAAAAAGACCTTGGTATTATTTTTTCGTCAAACCTATCATTTAGCACTCATATTGATGCCATTTGCAATAAATCATTAAAATTATTGGGCTTTGTTAACCGAAATACAATGAATTTTTCTAATACTCAAACTTTTTCAACTTTATATACGTCTCTGGTGCGTTCAATTCTAGACTATGCTTCAATGATTTGGTCATCCCATCAAGCTATTCATATTGAGAGACTTAATAAGATCCAATAAATATTCTGTAGCTTAGTTTTGTTTCGTTGTGGTACTAGTTTAAATATCCAATCTCTAACAGATAGACGTCGTGACTCCAGTGTGTCATTTGTTTATAAGTTAATTAATGGTTGAATTGATTCACCGGAGTTACTTAAAACAATTTCTTTTACAATGCCTTCATTTAATTTAAGAAAACCATCTACCTTCAATAGCACTATGCACAATAAATAATGCCGTGGACGTTGATATTTTCTTCGATTCTCTGCGTTTTATTTTCTTAATTTTCTAAATTAAACTGATATTATTTATAAGGGTAATCTTAATTATAATTTTATTGTTTCTTTATTATAACTAGGTTATACTTTAATTTAGTATTTAGTCATATAATTTTTTGTGTGAAATACTGTACTCTGTGCCCCCGTGGCGTTAATTTACAATAAATAAAAAATAATTAAATAAATATATATATATATATATATTCTTAATCAATTCCAAAATATATATATTAAAAATGTGTTTGTAAAATAACAAGATAAGTTCTGAAAATACAAAAACTAGTTGAAACAATAACTAGAATCTTACTTACAACTATTAATTAATAGTTTTATTTTAGGTAGTTTCATAAACAGATAAAATATTTTTTATAAAAACAAGTACAGACAAATATTATCGGTTTCTTTATTAAATGTAAGCTTCGGGCTAAAGATTAATAAACAAATAACATCAGACGAACTATTGTAGGTTTTATGTCAAAAACCATAGCCAGAAAAACAAAATAAATTCATCGTATTGTTCACTTGTACTCAGTCCTACTTTTATTATGATTATTATTGATACAATAGCGTTCACAACAATATATGGTTAAAAATGTTGATGTATATACGTCTGAACTTGCGTCAGAGAAGTGTAAAAATGTCGTCATGTTAGAAAAACAACTATGTAAAAAAATCAACATAGGTGTGTAAAATATATTGGAATGTTGACCCAATTTTCAAATTTTACTTAAAAATATATGAAATCTATTTGGCAAAAAACTCAGATATTTTCCCTCTTTTACCCTCATCGAACCATTACATTTCTACTCGCCACATATTTTTTATTACCACAGTCTACATTTAATTTATGATGGATCACAAGCACATTTTCCCGAATTTATTAAACATATGAGACATATAATTGACTTCAGTCTTTTATATTGTATCCATTTGATAAAACAAAATGTATATATTACATAATTTATGTGATGTTAATTACAGAGGAAATGACTTTTATGTTGGCAGTAATACTGAGTAATAACTTTTTTAAAATTGTATAGACAGTTTCTATGGTAAGTTGAGTACTTGTACTAATTACAAAAGTGTGTTATACTAATTTATCAAATGTATAAAATAGTTTAATGTTTTTCATCGAAAAACAGCGGAGTCAAAGCATAGTGGTACTCTTATTTA